AATAATAATAATAATAATAATAATAATAATAATAATAATAAATTCGTGTTTATATAAGTGCAAACTTGACAGCAATAATAATGCATTCAATTCTTTATTATTATAGGTATTTAGAAATAATAATAATTCAGTTTCATTCTTGTTTCCTTTCAATTAAATCCACTGTACTATTTTATTTCTCTACAAGCAGAATAAACATCCTGTCATGTATTTGGGTGACCAAGATACGGGCTTGGATTGGTGAATTAGTTTATTGGAACTTCAGTGGTTGTAACTACAAATAACTGTGACACATTCAAGATTACTGTAATTATAACATACATGTTAGATGTGTCAGAAGTTAGTGGCTTGCATTGTATTGGATTATTCAGCAGTGGTCACAACCGAAAATATGTGACAATTTGGTGTCAGTAGTCACGCAACCATAAAATCATGACAACTGAAAACTGCGAAAGATGTTATACACATGGGATCGAAGATTGAATTGGGTAGTCATACCACGAAAATGGAACAAACAAGTCAACAAATAAGGGAAATGATGAGCGTAGCAGAGGCTCTTGTAAGTTCCAACCGAAAAAGTTGCAAGCCACTATGCAAAGATAGAACCACTGTGGACCAGGCTGTGGACTGAAAGGCGAGGGTACATAAAAGCCAAGCAAGAGAAGTCATGCACTGAGTGGGCGAAGATACACGCAGACCAAGAAAAAAGGAGGGTAGACATGAAAGACTTTAATGAAATGATGCAGAGAAGGGAGGCTGAAAGAAAAGCCTTCGAGGAGAAGATGATGGCCAAGTGGAGAGCTGACCAAGAAAGACGGGAGGCTGAAGGAAAAGCCTATGAGAAGTGGACGGTCCAGCGAGAAGCCGACCAAAAAGAAAAGAAAACTCAACTTCAAGATGATGATGGTCGAGCGGAAAGCAGACCAAGAAGAAAGGGAGGCTGAAAGGTAAGCCAACCGAGAAGTGACAACAAGGCTGGAAGCCATTTACAACAAGACAGATGTCAACCAGATGAGAGTGGAATCTGAAATGGAACTTCAAGAGAAGATGGATGCCAATCCAAAGGTAGAAAAGGAAGACATAAAAATCAACCGAGACACAGGAGCAGAAATGAAAGCCATAGAAAGAAAAGCAGATGCCGACTGAGAGCACATGCTATAAATGATGAGAACCAATAACAGAAAAGATAGAACTCAAAACGGACACCATCCAAGAGAAGGACACCAATTGAAGGGAGATCATGGTAGAAATGAGGGCATGCCGAAACGAGAGGACGGCCTGCCAAGAAGCAATGAAGGCCTATCCAAGAAAGGTGGAGCCAACTGATCGCGTGATAGCCATCTTCGAACAGATGACAGCCATGACAAAAACTAATCAAGAAAAGAAAAGCCATGGATTTGAAGGGAAATCCTGAGGAAATGGAATGTGGGTCGGAACATCGAGAGATCCCTAAGGAAGATGCCATAGTGAAACCGGTAAAAAGACGGAAGCAGCAGCATACAGGCCAGAAGCTAGGTGGAGGGTGACATGGAGAGCAAAAGGAACTTACCTGAGGAATTTATGATTCCTGGAAGAAATTCGCTGCTGCTTGCAGGAATGTGACCCATTATGCAGCAGTGGCGTGGCACAAGAGGAACATCATCAGGAAAATTCGGACCAAAGGAAATTGTGGACCGCTGAAAGAATTGGCTGCAGCTGACCGGATGACCCAAGTACAAAAGTAGCACAGCATAGGGGACACAATCGCAAGGGATACAACCAAGAAAATGTGATACAAGAAACCCGGAAAGGATGGATATTCAAAAATAGATGTTGGAGAGGACAGGAATGGAAAAATGGCATAAGGGACCGAGGCCTAAAGCAGCAGGTATGAGGCAGGAAGCAAATAAAGGACCTAGGCGGCAGACGGCTGTTATATCTGACGAAGAAGGGAACAAAAACGGACAACATCGGAAGGTGGAGCCCAGGACAGTGAGCACTTCTGGGAAGCAGAGGAACACTCAAGGAAATCTTTTTTGAGATTTCCATATCGAAAATTGCAAAACAAACGCTGGAGACTTCCAGCAAGTTACGAAAAATCAAGAACCGGATGTTGTTGAGGTTTCGGAGCCCTCTGAAGCAGAAAAAGTAAGAGCTGGAAATGTTGGAGCACCGGTCACTCCGGAAGTTATGGCCCCACTGGCTGGAAAAAGAAAAAAACATTGGATGATGGAGATACATTGAGCCGTGCTGAAGGTCAGCTTGCTCTTATGCGTGATGTCATGGCATCTGTCATTCCCTCATTCCATCTTCACCCCCATATGTTGATGTATTATCCTCGTGATGTCTGTGTATCACGTGACCTTCTATCCCTCTTCCGATGTCTCGGAAGGAGACGAGACCTGCTTCGAAGTCTGTCAGAATACGAGGTCCCGAGTGGACGCTTACCAGCTAGTGGGGATTGCTACTAGAAATTCTGTTTCGACCTGGTACCTCTAAATTGCATTCGGTATATCTTCCATGGCTGGCTGGTAAGGTAAAGGCTGCCACGATCGCAAGCTGTTGGCTTAGAACGGTTGCGTGCGCACATTTATTTACTTATTTATTCTATTATTATTATTTGTGCTTTTCTGGGGCAACCTGTTTAACGCCTAAAGGAAGTTAGGGAAACTGGGGAGAGTTAGTTTATTCTTTGTTGCCTGTTGGCGACTAGTGATTGCTCCGCAATTGTGGATTTGGGTTGTTGTACCCCTGTTTGGCCTTGATTATGTATTTTTTGTGTAATTCTGTTACTTTGTTATTAAACTATGTTATTCTTATCTGGAAGGTTGACGTATCACTGTAGCTTCTCCATATAGCTTGGATACCCCACGAATATTCTGGGGAGCTTGTAAACACAGCAATAGAACCAGAGATGATGGGCTGCTTCTCCCAACTTCACGGATCTAATAATAAGTAATTTGAGAGAAGAGAAAGGGGCGGTTCAACATCTAATTTACTGGCACCTTAGCAATGAACTGCTTGGGATGAGGAGGGAGCAGTGGTAGCAGTCTGAGAGTGGTCTCTGCAGGAAAGACCGAAGCACAAGATGCCATGAGCAGGAACCCACAGAAAAGAAGGATCCAAGGGTAGAGTCCCAGAGACTACAAAAGATTAGAATTGAAGTGTTGAAGACTTTACTTTCTGTGTCATTGTTTCAATAATAATTTGATGTGTAATAATGAACTGTAGTTACGATGTGCGAAACTGTCCAATAATCGAGTTATCAAATCCAGAACCCATTATTTACTGTCACGTTAACAGGACACATGTGACAGTATGTTTATTTTAACTTTTTCTAATTAACATACCCAGTATCCCACAAAATAATACTTTGTCTGTAATGCTTGATAAAAAATTTCCATTCATTTCACCGGTCTATTGGAGTTACCCCAGCATACTCAATAAAAAGTATAAAAAGATATCCCTCTAACAGGCTGTGGAGGCCCATAGGGTTGTGTGATATTGAGGCTTCCACATTCTCTAGACCAGGATGTCAAACTCAACTTGTACAGAGGGCCACCTCAGCCCTATAAATAATAGTCCAGGGCCGCACTTCAAAATAGAAATATACATTCGATTTTGATACAAGGAAATTTAACTCTATTTATTATTTAGGAATAATTTCAATATAATTACCTAAAGTCACATATCCTAGAGTTTTAAAAAGCAAGAGAATGCCATTTTTGACAAGTATTAAACAGCTTTTCAATATGTAAAAAGAGAGATTACACAAGAAATTATGTTAGAAATAGCAAAACATTTAATTTCCTGCAGCCTGCTAATTTATGTATGCGTGAGACTTCTTGTCTTCTGGTCTGCTGGAAAACTGTCTTTACAAAAAATATTTCTATTAACATTTTAATATTGATTTTAATATCAATTACCTCTAAAAGTTGAGGGGCCGCACTTTGTGGCTATGGGGGCCGCATGTTTGACACGGCTCCTCTAGACTAACGGCTCAAAGATGGCAGTAAGGTTCTGAACCTTATGCACCCGCCACCCATTACCTCCCAGGAATATTCCTAGTACTCATTTCTATTAGAGGCTGAGTTGACCCCAGGGCCATAGTGCAGCTGGAAGGAATATATAGTACAGTACTAATTATAATTCACTTAAATATTCACAATTAAGCTAGTTGAAGATCTCGCTGTCCTAATGTGTAGGCAGAGTGACCAACCTGGGGCGGTCTTTCAAACAGCTACTCTTCTCATAGTCACAAGCTCTTATTTACTTGTCTTATTGTTGCTTGCACTTCGATGCCAGGCTCAAGAAGACTCTTGATAAGCATATACACATATCAATTCATAACACAATTCACAATTCAACAACACATTCACCCACAGTAGAAAGAGAAAGAGCACAAAAAATATACATCATGACAAATGATGTAGCAGAATTATGTTTATATTCCATTAATCAGTTTAAACAAGTATGCTCTACTAATCACTAGCTTCCACACTTCAAGTAAATGTAAATGTATGAGAAATTAATATCATGCTATGTCTGTTCACTCTACATAGACAGGGTCCTGTACACATTCAGCAGTGTTAAAAAGAAATACAGATATGAACTGACCTCATGGACCATGGGCCTCAGTTCATTTCCTGCGTCAGTCAGAAAGGATTACAACAGAAAGTAACTCCAATATTTTGTAGCATTCCTCAGATATGCAGCATGTGTGACTTGTGGCAAGCAACACTGTGGCCTTCCACAAGTCACACATTGCTCCTTTAGTCCAAATGCAATTCTACTGCTCCAAGGTTTACTACGTACATCCCCATGTGTGAGCTGATATGTCTTCAAATGACTGTGATAATGGAATGTCATATTACACACTTCACAGCAATATGTCTGCTCTAAATTATGTGAACGCTTATGTGATCAGATGACGCTCATCACTGACTGACTTACTGAATGAATGAATGTACAAGGGGTGGGACCAATTGGCCCTTGCACCGTGACCACAGTGATCTACTGTGCTTCCCCTGAATTACTTATTACACACAACACAATATGGCTGCTACCCACTATGTTTGCATTGATGTGTCTTCAGACGACTGTGATGGCTGAATGACTTCTTACAAACGTCACAGCAGAATGGTTGCTCTGCACTCGCACTATGTTTATTCTTATGTGTCTTCAGATGATACTGCCGAATGAATGACTTATTACACACATCACAGCAGAATGGTCGCTCCCCACTATGTATTACCTTATGTCTCTTCAGATCACTCTTCTGACGGAATGACTTATTACACACATCACAGCAGAATAGTCGCTCCCCACTATGTATGCGCTCATGCTTCCTCAGGTAACCCTGATCATTGAAAGACTTATTACACACATCACAGCAGAATGGTCGCTCCCCACTGTGTATTACCTTATGTCTCTTCAGATCACTCTTCTGACGGAATGACTTATTACACACATCACAGCAGAATAGTCGCTCCCCACTATGTATGCGCTCATGCTTCCTCAGGTAACCCTGATCACTGAAAGACTTATTACATACATCACAGCAGAATTGTTGCTCCCCACTATGTATGCGCTCATGCTTCCTCAGATAACCCTGATCACTGAAAGACTTATTACATACATCACAGCAGAATTGTTGCTCCCCACTATGTATGCGCTCATGCTTCCTCAGATAACCCTGATCATTGAAAGACTTATTACACACATCACAGCAGAATGGTCGCTCCCCACTGTGTATTACCTTATGTCTCTTCAGATCACTCTTCTGACGGAATGACTTATTACACACATCACAGCAGAATAGTCGCTCCCCACTATGTATGCGCTCATGCTTCCTCAGGTAACCCTGATCACTGAAAGACTTATTACATACATCACAGCAGAATGGCCGCTCCCCACTGTGTATCAACTTATGTTTCTTCAGATCACATTTCCGATGAAATGACTTATCACACACATCACAGCAGAATGGCCGCTCCCCATTATGTATGCGTTGATGCTTCTTCAGATTATCCTGAGCACTGAATGACTTCTTACAAACGTCACAGCAGAATGGTTGCTCTGCACTCGCACTATGTTTATTCTTATGTGTCTTCAGATGATACTGCCGAATGAATGACTTATTACACACATCACAGCAGAATGGTCGCTCTCCACTATGTATTAACTTATGTTTCTTCAGATCACTCTTCTGACGGAATGACCTATTACACACAACACAGCAGAATAGTTGCTCCCCACTATGTATTTGCTCATGCTTCCTCAGATAACCCTGATCACTGGAAGACTTATTACATACATCACAGCAGAATGGTCGCTCCCCACTATGTATGCCTTGATGTGTCCTCAAATTAAAGTGTTGACTGAACAACTCACCATACTCATTACAAGAATATTCCTGCTCCTCACCATGTACAGGTTGAAGTTCATTCAGAGTACTCTGGAACAAGAGACGAAATAACATGAGAAATCCTGGTAGTAAGATAAATGAGTTTCAAACTGCAGTGTAGTGGGATGTTAAGTGGGTAAGCATCAGAAGGGTGCACTGAGAGTAGAAGACAGTGAATGCACTCTTCTGTGTGTCCAAAAGTATGTATGGTTATTTGTGTGTGAACAAAAATTTAGCTGCACTGTCACTATTTAAAAAATTACAAAATCAAAAAATATGCCTTTGTAAGGCTGTATAGGTGTTTGAGCAATGCTGGAAAGGATCCAGAAATGAAACAGTAAATGCAGAGTTAAGAACTGACAGTATGACAGCTTGTATATGGTCTAGCGAAGTTCTTGAAATAATACTGACGTGGACGGCGCAATGCTTGGTAACCCGCCCCCCACGGTGACGTAACAGCACTTCCCACAGTGACGTAACAGGGGACACCACAGTTACTACGCAGCAATAAACAACTCTTGGCAGCGTTCCCCAGCAACGCCTGCAAACACAGCGTTTACGCAACAGTGAAGTGAGGTGGGTTTCCCACTGTCCGACTGAGGGTTTATAAGGGAGACTTGAATGCGTAAGGAGCGATTTGAAATGTAGCAACCGCCGAAGCCAGTTGGTATTCGGAGTCTGGCAGCCGTGGAAGAAGAACCGACGCGTGATCAGAAGAGTTTACGTGTGATAATCAGTGATAGTTTGTGATAACTGAGAAGGTATTGGGAGTGTGTAATTCAGTGACATTAGTATAGCTTCTGCGTTATAAATACGTGAAGCCTACTGAAGATAGAGTGAAGAGACTATTGTGTAGGGTTGTAGAGTGTGTAAACCCGTAACAGTGTTATAATTAATTGTAGTTACAAGTTTTAGGTTGTTAAATAAACCAATTAACAATCTGAACGGCGTCTTCAGAGGCAAAATACGTTACAATACATATAAAATGACTTAAAGAGGCAAATAAAACGGAGTAATTTCAATTTACATTGACAGCCCGAAACCATAAAGAAAACCACTTGTGCAGTCTCCTAGGATGCCACAAAATGTTTATGACCGTGAAAATATTGTAATGGATTAGCTTAAAGCGTTTCTAGGCAACAGCTCAGTAACGACATTCCAACGAGCAACAATCTGTCTCGGTGGACAGATGTTATAGCTCATTGATAGGCAAGAGTCGGCGCGCCAATGAAACCAGTGTGTAGGAATCACGTGTTCTCCATGCGGAACATATATAATGAAAACCTGTTGTAGCTTAGATCAGAGAAGAGTGCTGTGCAGTGCAGTGTAGTTAAGACTCCAGGAATCATTTTAGTTGATTTCCGAAGTTCTAAGATGATTGAACACGAAATGACAAGAAGACTTCATAGTGATCAGAGAAGTGCTAGTTTCTGTTGAGACCTGTTGCCAGAAGACAACTTGTGGGAACTGAGAATCATAGCGCGTGTGTAACAGTGAACTGGGAAATGTGTAAATCAGGGATAGCAATGTACTGAATGTGATTAAGAGAACTTGTAACCAAAGTGCTAATAAAGCCAATCATCTGAAATAAAGCCCATTGTTTTTATCACCTGTAACCCCCACATGACATTTCAGCGTCAGAGGATGGCAGTTTGGACCGTATTGTTTTATCATAAAATATGTGACAACTGACGTTAGAAGTGGTAAAGATAGGATCACATTGATTAGATTATTGGATTTACGATTGCATCAGGTTGTATATTGCTAAATTATATAGAGGGAACAAATAACTGACCGCCTCCTGGCAAAAATCGTCACCAGGATGACCGCCAATACAAAAGCATCATAAGAAAAGGTGGATGCAGATCTAAAGGACTAAAGGAAGACATGAAAACTAACAAAGGCAAGATGGACATAAATCTAGAAGAAATAAAATCTGGCCAAGAGGAAAAGATATCCATACTTAATGCCTGGATAACGGACATGAAGAATGATCGAATAGAGACAATGTCCTGCCAAGTAACGATGGAGGCGTGTCTGCACAGTAAGCAGCTACATTCTGACGACATGGAATCCAAAGTGGAACATCAGGAGGTCCCTATGGAAGAGGCTGAGGTGAAATCTTCGGGAATAATGAAGCAGCATAGGGCCTGGCATCAAGATGCAGAGCAACGGAGAGCCGAAGGAATTAACCCAAGGAGATTGTGGATCCTGGAGGAAGTTGCCTGCCACCCGCAGGAAGGTGTCCCATTATGCAGCAGTGGCACAGCATAAGAGAAACGTCTTCAGGAAAATTTGGACCCAGGGAAATTGTGGACCGCAGAAGGAATTGTCTGCAGCCAGCAGGAGGATGCCCCACAGTACAAAAATAGCACGGCGCAGGGGACACAATCACAAGAGATACAACCAGGACAATGTGGTACAAGAAACACAGAAAGGACGAATGTTCGGGAAGAGACGTTGGAAGGGCCCGGAATGCAACAATGGCATAAGGGACCAAGGCCTAAGAGAACAACTATGAAGCAGCAGGAGAATAAAGAACCCAGGCACAAGCCATCAGCTGCTTCTTAAGATTGAGACAATAGAAGACTTTGACAGGAAGGCTTTCGAACTGGATATCATGAAGCAAGCAACCGGGATGTCCAGCAGGTTGCGGAAAATGAGGAACTGTAACCTTGTGGAGGGGTCACCCCCTCCAGAGGGGAAACAAGGACTGGGCATTGTGGAGGATTAGGCTCCATCCAAAATGGAAGAAAACCGTAGCAGCAGCAGTAATGTAGGAAGAGCTGGATATGTGGAGCACTGGCAAATCCAGGTGTGAAAGAGATAAAATAAAGAAAACCTCTGGTTGATGGTGATTCATCTGGATCTATTTGCACGTTAGCAGTGAGCTCGCCCTGGGAGTAGTGGAAGTGCTCAGAGAGAGAACACCAGAAAAAGAATAACTTTCAGGAAGAAGGTGAAAGCAGAGCTCCTGGAAAGGAAGCAAACGTTAATAACTGTCAGGCTATTCAGGAAGACAGGCTTAAGGAGGGAGCAACGTAATGGATTTGTTCAAAGCATTTCTAGCCAATAGCTCAGTAAATACGTTCCAGCATGCAACAATGGAAGATGTGTCTCAGTGAACAAATGTTATAGGTCATTGCTAAGCAAGAGTCAGTGCACCAATGAACTCACTGGCTAGGAATCATGTGACTTGTGTTTTCTGTGTTGTCCCTGCAGAGCTTATATAATGAAGACATGTTGTAGCTTAGATTAGTGAACAGTGCAGTGCAGTTAAAGATGCAATATAGTTTTTAATTGAGTTCTGAGGTTCCAGGGTGACTGAACAAGAAATGGCAAAAACATCACAGTCATTTGAAGTGCTAGATTCTATGTTGAGATCCATTGCCAAGAGATGAACAGTGGAGACTCCTAGTGTGTGTGCAACAGTGAACTGGAAAATGTGTAAATCAGCAATAGCGCTGTACTGACTATGATTTAGAGAACTTGTAACCGAAGCGCTAATAAATCCAATCATCTGAACTAGAACCCGTTATTTTCATCATGCATAATCACCTACACATGGCAATATTTAGCACTGGTCAGAACATAGGCTCTCCTTCCAGATGTGTAAAATGGTAATGGGCACACCACACAGTGCAGAAATAGCTGTGGGGGACCCTTGCAACAAATGGCTATTTCAGTTAGTTGTTCCTAACTGGAAAATATTGTTGGCATGATTTCCTCCTTCCGGATGGAGCTGAAGGCTTATCACATCTGAACACACTGCTACACTGGCTGAAATTTCTTATCGTCTGTGTTGGTCCATACATCTTGCCATGATGACATCAGGCAGTATAGAAGCAGGAAATATTACCACCCAGAGGCTGTTCTGATGACCAGCTCCCCAAGGAAGATAGCTTATCTGGCAGCTTCATTGATAGTCTCATGGCCAAGCAAGCCCACTGAGCTACACACTCAGAAAGAGGCCAGATTGGCCATGCACATTTCCATTGAGACTGCAAAGCAATACTCATGTCTGTACATTGCATTGCCCGATTCAGTTCTTAGTTTCAATGCTCTCACCTGGAACTGGGTGTCTAAATAAGGATAAATCTCAATACTTGTTGGGCACGCCATAGCTCAAGCGGTTAGTTGCTGACTTCCCAACATGGCGGCCCGGGTTCGATCCCGGGTCTGGTCAAGTGGGATTTGTGGTGGGCAAACTGGCGCTGGGGCAGGTTTTCTCCAAGTACTTTGGTTCCCCTGCCAATCTTGATTCAACCAATTGCTCCACAATCACCCTCACCAATCATGTGGGGCTGGTAAAATAGGCCAAAAGTGGCCGCAGTACAAGGGACTTAGTCCCACCCCACTAGCATTAAAAAAAATCCCAATTCTACATTGGATAGCATAGCAATCACACAGCATGACCAAAATGAATCTTGAATACACTAAATTTGGGAACTGGACACAGTGTGATGGAGTACAGTAGCAGGTAGCAGGTGAAAGTGATGCATTGAGGTTTTGGGGAAAGGGAATAATATAACACCATGATGTCACGAAGCACAGGAATAGGGTACAGCTGACTGTACTACAAATGAAAGCGGCATGACTCGGAGGTCATAGGGTTTAGGAGTGCACATGCTGTTAAAATTTATGAGGCAGTGACAGAAAACCTAGTCTCCAGACCAAGAGGCAAAACTAGTCAAAGTCTGAACCAACAATCAATTACTACAAATAAACATATACTCTTGATATTCTGAGAGGATTACTGCAAAGTGTCAGTGATGGGAAGAAACCTGTCTTCAGGCATTAGGTATGCCACACTAGTGGAAGTCCTGGTTATCCCTGCATTAATGGGACCGGAAAGGTGCCACTTGAAATGAATTCCCTTAAAGGGGGAATATCCACCCCCAACAAATAATCTAAACGTGAGTTAATACAGACTGCTACATTCGAGGTTACTATAGGTGTGCTAGTTACCCAAGAAGGTAGCATGCTGTACATGTCATAATTTAAAATTGAATTGTTAAGAAACGAAAAAAATAACTCTTACGCCCATTCTG